ATATATATATATATATATATATATATATGTGTGTGTGTGTGTGTGTGTGTGTGTGTGTGTGTGTAATTACCTCCAAATAGAAAAGATGAAAAAGGGGAGGAGATTGTTAGCTGTGTCTCAGTCTGGACGGAGATTTTGATAAAAGAGAAGAAGAATAAAATAGGCAAAGGAAGAAATAGTATATACATATAACCAAGGTTTTTAGACTCATGATGAGCAAACTGTTGTCTTTTAGTAAAGTTATAGTTAAATTAGTTAATTGGAAGTTGGCTGAAGAAAACAAAGCGCTAGAGAAATAAAAAAAAAAAGAGTATTTTTGGGAGAAGATATCGATGAAGGATATATATATATATATATATATAGTAAATAGTAATAGATTATAGCAAGGAATAATAAATATTAAGTAATGAATAATTGATGAGATCAACAAAGAAGGAGAGGGAGAAGAAGGACATACGTAGTAATGCAGCAGGTGAGTAGTGCAGCTGGTCGTTTAGTTGCAGGTTCTCACAACCGCAATGAGCTCGTCGTCATCTCATGCCATGCACATTCTGCCGTAATTAACCGATTACCTCTACTTTTGTTGCGTACTTTATTTATTTATTTATTTAAGACAGAAAGGTCTTATTAACTAGTAGTATAATTTTTTGTTTCTAGATGGATTAAGCATTAATGTCAATAATTAAAGTGGTAGTGCGGTTGATTTGCATTTTGCATATTGTATGATGAATGGTGGTGAGGCAGGTAAAAGGCAAGGGAAGTGGGGAAATATGTGAGATTTGTGGAGATGAGAGAGGGGTGAATGCGGAAGGGGAGTTGTTTGAGGGGTGCAACGAATGCGGGTTTCCCATTTGCAGGACATGCTACGACTACGAGCGCCTTCACGGCACCCAACTCTGCCCTCTCTGCAAAACCCGTTTTCCCCGTCTCAAGGGTACCCTACCCTCCTACTTTATCAATTTCTTTCTTTCTTTCTTTCTTTCTTTCTTTTGAACACTTATAAAGATATTCATCCCTATATATAGCATTTTTCATATAATTTGGCTGCTATATGCTAATTTATTATTATTATTATTATTTTGAATTCACTGGGCAGGATGTCCCAGGGTAGACGGAGATGAGGAAGAAGATGACGCGGATGACCTCGACAATGAATTCAATTTTGACTCTGCGACCACCAAGCGTGATATTATACAAACCGAACATGCTATTTCTTCTTCTTGCACCCTTGACATTAATTATAATGATCACAGGGTATTCTTATTGTTTTTCATCATCTTTTTCAACCTTGTATGTATACGATACGCATCAAAATTGCTCTAATATTAGTTTTTGGAGTTGGCTTGTCCGTACAGGTTAGTAATGTCCCTCCTGAAAATAATCCTGCCTTGGTATCCGCTGAAAAACATGTTCACCCCAATCTTCATACTAATTCCCTTAAACGTATAATTAGCTTAATTTCTGATTTTAATTACTCCTTCCGTCATTCTATATTCCAATAAAATTGTTGCTCACATGATCTAGTTACTTTTATTTTATTTATTTAATTTTTTTCCATTGCAACCAGCTAGAGCCGTGGATCCTTCGAAACACCTGGCTGCTTATGGCTATGGAACTGTTGCTTGGAAGGAGAGAATGGAGAAATGGAAGCAAAAGCAACAACAAAACTCACACGTTAATCTTAATGGAATTCGAAGTAATTCGGATCATGATGGAGATGATCCAGACGTCTCATTGTATGTTAAATTTAAGTAATTGTGTCATTCAATTGAAATAACTTCATCTATGTCTAATAACTCTTTATAAATTGAAAAAAAAAATGATATATATTTTTGACAATAAAAATGATATATGGGTGATGGAACAGAATGGACGAGGCAAGACAACCGTTGTCGAGAAAGTTTCCGATTTCATCGAGCCAAATCAATCCATACAGAATGATCATCATAATCCGACTCGTAGTTTTGGGCTTCTTTTTCCATTACCGACTCACACATCCAGTGAAACACGCGTATGCGTTGTGGCTTATATCCGTAATATGTGAGGTTTGGTTCGCTCTTTCATGGATTCTTGATCAGTTCCCCAAGTGGATTCCTGTTGAGAGGGAAACATATCTCGATAGGTTGTCTCTCAGGTGATAATTTTTACTTGTTACCTTGCGAGTGATCATGAATATTTTTATCAATCAATGGCTTATATGTAAAATCAATAATCATAAGTAAGTGTCCTGTTTCATGAGCACAATGAACTGCCAGGTATGAGAAGGGAGGCGAAGCTTGTCAACTTTCTCCGGTGGATATATTTGTGACCACAGTTGATCCATTGAAGGAACCTCCTATAGTAACAGCAAATACGGTGCTTTCAATTCTAGCGGTGGATTATCCGGTGGAGAAGGTCTCATGTTATGTTTCTGATGATGGTGCCTCAATTCTAACATTTGAGTCCCTATCAGAGACATCTGAATTTGCGAGGAAGTGGGTCCCTTTTTGTAAAAAGTTTAACATAGAGCCACGGGCACCGGAATGGTATTTTGCTCACAAGGTAGACTACCTTAAAGACAGGGTGTATCCGTCCTTCGTCAAGGAAAGAAGAGCAATCAAAGTAAGCTTATTAACATTATTTGACTTGGTATCAATTGTAATTTTAATGTCAGAGTACGTACGCACGTGATGAAATTACTATAACAATTGATCTGCCTGCAGAGGGCGTATGAAGAGTTTAAAGTGCGAATTAATGCATTGGTGGCCAAGGCTCAAAAAGTCCCCCCTGAACAAGGTTGGACGCAGCCGGATGGGACTCCATGGCCCGGAAATAACGTTCGGGATCATCTTGGAATTATTCAGGTATATATTTGACTGCTTTTGGGCGGCCAAGTTTATTAGTTAGTTGTCATGAATGAAGAGTTCACTTGTCATGATTGACATTTTGTATGTATGCAATCATGTATATATACATACTTTTGATATATATATATATATATAGATCTTTGTTGATGGCGAAAGTGGAGGAGGAGATGACAGTAGGAATGGAAGTGAATTGCCGCGCCTAGTATATGTTTCAAGAGAAAAGAGGCCTCGCTTTAATCACCGCAAAAAGGCAGGGGCTATGAATGCTTTGGTCAGAGTCTCTGGCGTGCTCACAAATGCACCCTATGTATTGAACTTAGACTGTGATCACTACATAAATAATAGTAAGGCAGTGAGAGAGGCAATGTGTTTTATGATGGATCCGTTGTTAGGAAAAAGAGTATGCTACGTTCAATTTCCACAAAGATTTGATGGTATCGACGAGCACGATCGATATGCCAACCACAATACCGTCTTCTTTGATGTAAGCATATATCTTTATTCTATGTAGCATGTATCTTTCACTATATATACGTTCAATTGCTTTTGCATTTTCTCCAATATGATCTGATTAATATGTTATAGCTAGATATCTGAATTAATTAAGAAGGAAACACACAAACCATGATATTCTCATATTATTATTAATCCAGATTAACATGAAAGGTTTGGATGGTATTCAAGGACCCATTTATGTTGGGACTGGATGTGTCTTCAGAAGGCAGGCTCTTTACGGATTTGATGCGCCCCCAAAAAGTCACAAGAAGTCGCTGAAGAGAACATGCAATTGTTGGCCGAAATGGTACTGCTGTTGTTTCCCAAGGATGGAGAAGAACATTAATAAAGCATTCAAATTACCAAAGATTAATGATACGGACAAGGCCAGAAATTCTTGGAAGGGAGAGGCTCTACGACTACTAGGCAGTGAAGAGAGTATTAAAGGTCGTACGTAAACTTTGCACTTACGACCTAAATATTGAAAGTTGGATATCTTAAAATTTTATTTTATTTTTATTTTTATTAACAAGGACCTTATTATAGCATATATGTGTTAATTTTTTCATTGGATGGTATTTTTTTTCTTCACTTGACATTATATTGGAAGTACAGTCATTGAAGACGATGAGAGTTCAAATTTGATATCCGAGCATAAGTTGGAAAAGAAGTTTGGGCAGTCCTCGGTGTTTATTGCATCTACTCTGTTGGAGGATGGTGGGACTCCAACAAGTGCTAGTGTTGCGTCTCTTCTTAAAGAAGCCATCCACGTCATTAGTTGTGGCTACGAATCTAAAACTGAATGGGGAGAAGAGGTACTTCTAATTAGTATTAGCTGATCATATAATTAATATTCGTTGTTTTATGATACGATGAGCTTTTTTTTTTGTTCAATTAATGTTGTTGTAGATTGGTTGGATCTACGGGTCAGTCACGGAGGATATCTTGACAGGTTTTAAAATGCATTGCCATGGATGGAGGTCGATATATTGTGTGCCCGAAAGGCCTGCTTTCACAGGATCGGCTCCTATAAACCTTTCAGATCGTCTGCACCAAGTCCTTCGGTGGGCCCTTGGATCGGGTGAGATATTCTTGAGTAGGCATTGCCCTCTTTGGTATGGTTATGGCGGTGGTCTTAAGTGGTTGGAGCGTCTTTCCTACGTCAACGCAACGGTGTATCCATTGACATCCATTCCTCTCTTGGCTTATTGTACGTTACCTGCCGTCTGCTTGTTCACCCGCAAATTTATCATTCCAGAGGTATGCCATGTGTTTATGTAATTGCTACTTACTATATATATATGTAAGAATTTATTAATGCAGAGAGAATATCATGACATAATTATGAAAACATGATTGCAGCTTAGCAACGTTGGTAGCTTGTGGTTCGTGTCACTTTTCATGTGCATATTCGCAACGAGCATGCTAGAAATGAGATGGAGCGGAGTGGGAATAGATGAGTGGTGGAGAAACGAACAGTTTTGGGTGATTGGAGGTGTTTCGGCGCACTTGTTTGCGGTGTTCCAGGGTCTCTTGAAGCTTATAGCTGGTGTCGATACAAACTTCACAGTCACTTCAAAATCAAGCTCGTCGTCGTCAGACTTGTATGCGTTCAAATGGACTTCACTTCTCATTCCACCAACAACGCTGATTATAATAAACCTAATTGCTGTCGTGGCTGGAATCTCCGATGGAATCAACAATTATGCCTATGATTCGTGGGGGCCGCTCCTTGGTAAGTTGCTATTTGCATTTTGGGTCATTCTTCATCTCTATCCATTCTTGAAAGGCTTGCTTGGTAGGCACAACAGAACTCCCACCATTGTCATCGTCTGGTCGGTTTTTCTCGCCTCAATTTTCTCTCTTTTTTGGGTTCGCATTCATCCATACTTGCCTCACTCCGATTATCCCTTTTTGGAGGAATGCGGATTGGACTGTACTACTACTTAATATATGTAATTAATTAGGAATATTTTAGAGTTTGTTATTTGTTGTGGCCGGCCGTTTGCAAGTGGGACGGCGTTACAAAATAAGTGATATATTATATTTTGAAATTCGTCTCTCTGAACCCTTTTTTTTTTTTTTTTCTCATTTGTGAATGATACTATTTTTCATTTTTTTTCGTTTGCTCTGAATACAATTTTTTCATTTGTGAATGCTACTGATGTATTAATGCTTTAGTTTCGCTTTAGCGTATTGGTTAATGGTAGTTGTTATTGAATAGAAACAGTGTATTAATGATGAATTATCATCATATATTGTTAGTTTACTAATCCATTCCAAAAGCTTAAGCTATTAGGAGGTGGGCCAACAATAATTTTATACTTTTAACACTCTCCCTCACGTGTGGGCTGGACAATGGGCAATCGTGTGGGTAAATTAATTGGAAAGCCCAACACGTGAATATTTAAGACCGAGATATATTAAAAACTCAACACGTGATGACAATTTAAATGGAGATAAAGAGTACAATTACGGGGGTTTGAACTCAGGACATTCCGCTCTGATACCATGTTAGTTTACCAATCAATCCCAAAAGCTTAAGCTATTAGGAGGTGAGCCAACAATAATTTTATAATTTAACATATATATATATATATATATTGCGTGCTGTCTTACTAGGGGTGTAAATCGGCCGGGTAGGCTGAGCCTGAGAGCCTCTGGCTCTGCTTCTAAGAAGAAATGGCAAGGGAGTAGGGACGGCAAGGCTAGCAGAGAGAGAGAGAGAGTGAGAAGTGAGACATTGAGAGAGAGAGGCTGAGGACTTGATGCTAAACGGCATGAGAGAGAGAGAGAGAGGTGAGAGTGAGATATCACTGAGTTAGGGCATTAGGATTTTTTTTCCCACTGATCTCATTCGGCCGGGTTGGGGAGTATCGGGCCAAAGGAAGCCCGCCCCGCGGCCCAACCCGCAATGTGCGGGTTGGATCTATTTGAATCCGGAAAAAAAAAATACACACAAAATTCAGGTAGGATTGGGTAGGGTTGGACGGATTATTTAGGTTCAGCCCAAATTCTTATAGCCCTATGTCTTACAAAAGGATAAATTAGATGTACAACTACAACCATCTGTCACCATGCAGGCTGCAGCATGCATGAGCTTAATGTTGTACCTAATTCCTAGCTACGTTATATGTTGTCCTTCTTTCATTTCAGGAGGACGACAACAACAGCAACAACAAAAAATCCTTTATCTTTCCTTGAAACTCTTTTTTTTTTTTTTTTCCCTAAAAAAGTATATAACTACCAGGAAGTACGTAGCTTTATCAACATGCATTGCGATCAAAAGGCAAAGGCGGTGCTTCGAAGTCTCAAGTCTTTGATAATGAAGGAATGATTTGATTAGTGCAAATTAACGGAATTAGACAAAGTCAACATGCTTGTCTCGTTTAGATCAATTGCTATATTACGGAACGGAGCACTGTTGGTTAACCATATTTATGTGTGTGTGTGTGTTTGACTATTTCCATTTAAAGAAATGATGGAAAAAGGAGAAATGAGGTAGGTTTGAATATTCGGATGCATTCTTTCAATTTGATGTTTCTGGGTTGTTGCTCGGTTATGAATAAACATTAATTAATTCTCATGCATCTCAATCACAATTACAATCACAATCACAATGTGCTCTCACCGCCTTTAGTGGGCTCGGCGAATTGTTTTGTTGCCAATAATTGGCCTTAATTTGCTTCCTCCGCTTTGGACGCGCTTTTCCCTCTTCCTTTTTTTTTTCTTTTTTTTTTTATGAAGGAAAATGAAAAGCTGCCTTTGACTATCAAGCTACGTACCTTAGAGTTGGAGTCGAGACGTTCACACCAAAATTTGTGCTGCGTTACTATTTTAAAATCTGATAATCTAATCTTATAAATAAATATTTATTCATTTATTTTATGTGGAGCTTTCATACATACAGCTGAGCACACACATAATATCTCACCCTCCTATCTCCATACCTTTACCGATAAAGTCTACAGCTTAGCTCGGCTCAGCTCTGCTTACATTACTAGCTCGATCGGCTCTTTAATTTACAACTTAGGTTTTCTTTCTTTTGGAGTTTGTTAGGCTTGAGAGCCGCCAATTAAGCCGATGTTGTTGTAGGCCCAACCCAACAACTAACTAATTAATTTCCGCGGTTCCACCTCCACAATATATACTATATACTATATAGTCGCGCCAGTGGATCATATATGATGGTTATTATTAATTATTTAATAAATAAGTATTATTATAATATCTGCATCAGAACTTTTGAAGTTGAGGCGTTTACTTTACATATTGGCAAAGAGTAGATATATATATATAAATGTATATATAAACACGGGCGCGCACACACAAGTATATATTAAGAGGTACTACTACTCAACAACAGCAGAAGAAGAAGAAGAAGAAGAAGAAGATGGTGTGGCCGTACAGGTGGTGTGGAGCAAAGGGGTTCGATCGTACTGAGTATGAGAGTGAAAATGACGATGATGGCTATGTGGGGGTGTACGTGGGAAGGAACAACATGGAGATGTGCAAGTTGAAGATGGAAGCCAATTTTCTTAACCACCCGCTTTTCGAGGATCTTCTTCAGTTGTCGGAGGAAGAGTTCGGATATTCGTACGAGGGAGCCCTCCGAATAGCGTGCGATCTCCATCTCTTCCAACATCTTCTTCATCTTCTCCGATCCGGCAGTCCCTCCGTCCACTATCTTCAGCTTCCAGATCTCATTTCCAACTTCTATAACAATTCTTCTTCTACTACTATTATTACTAAATAAATATGAAATGCAATGCTACGTTACGTACACCATCAATTTATACTAGAACTAGGTCATACTCATACACATTAATTCTTAAAATTTGTAAGATTGTATATTTTGTTTGTTCATCTTCCATTCATCTCTGGTAGTGACTTTTTCTTTCACTATTAAGATATGGAACTCTATTGTTTTCAATATCGATTCAATTATAATAAAAGACACCTATAATTATACCACCCATCTTGTCACCCCCCACCCCCCTTTTTTTTTTTTTTTTTTTTTTTTTTTTTTTTTTTTTTGGGTTAAAGACGCCATATCTTGTTCAGCTATTGCCTATATATTGCGTATATATGTAAGGAAGTTAGCAAACATTGCGATCGATCCTTGGAAAAAATTACAATATGATTTCGCACCATAATGGGTTGTTACTAATTGTTATGTCATAAACAGTTCCACTAATTTTTTTTTTTTTTTTTTTAAATTTGTAATGAGAATGATGATCACTCTCAAAGTCTTTCGAGAGATCTAAAAAATTTAACAAGTGCCCACTACCCACACACAAGCTATTTCTCGATGGTGTGTGAGTCTCTCGGCCTAGTGCTCTAGGGCCGTCAGTGGCTTCTTTTCTTCACCACAGTGCTACTCGTTTTGATCACCTCTTATGTCTTGACATCAAAAGTACATTTCGTGTTGGTCGAGACTTTTATCTTAGTTTTAGTTTTATTTAATGTAATAAAGGTGATGTTGATTCCTTCATTTTGGTGTTTTTTGTTTTTTGTTGCCTCACTCTTTTATGGTGGTAGTAGGTCTAATCCATTATCTGATACAATGTTAACCTTAGTGCTATGAGTTTTTTGGTCTTGATTGATTAGTTTTATCCATCGACTGTAGTAGTTCTGTCAAATGAGCTTTTATTGCGTTCAAGTGTCAATATGTTGAACGGGCCTTTTTTCTATTAGGTCTTGACACTTGTGCTTGCCACTGCGCCTCAATCACCTCCACTAGTGGATCTAATCTTCATATGTAGTCGAATAACCTTATATTTGGTGGTTATTAGAGTCAAAAATACCATTTGGGCATATTTGGTTCTTTTTTTTTTCTTCCTGAGTGGTGCATATTTGGTGTTGTTATTCTCTTAAAGTCGTGAATACCTCCAGGCTTTATATTTCCCTAGATTTCACCCGTAATACTTGTGCGAAGAATAAATAGTTGCTGTTTGTTGAATCTGCATGCTTGAGGTATACATCTAACTCTTCACTATTGACTATTGAGATGAACAAATAACAACAATAAAAAAATGTGGGAGAAATACGAGTTTATAAAAAATGGACAGCCCATCTACTCCAACATATAGGAGAGGAGTAAAACAAAACTTATTCGACAACAACAATCATCAATAAATAGACTTGGGGGGCCCTCAACCAACTTTCGAGTTATACATCATACACCACGATTGCTCCATTCTTTCTTCATGAGCTGATTTCTCCGCAGAAGGTAGAAACATATATAACAAGCTAAAAATTTATCTATTTTTAATTTGGAGGGGAAAATAAAATAACAATGAATAAATTAATAACACGGCTTTTCAAGAGAAAATAACAGAGTTTTAAGATGAAATTCTTGCGTGAGGATCAGCAGAAGGGCACCAAATCGTGCAGCCACATGAATACAAATATGAAGAAGAAAAACAAACACATGAAATGAATAATACCTGTAATTGCTTTGTTTTGTTTTTAATTCCTCTTTTTTAAATGCACTATTTTCCTTCTTTACCAGCCAAATGTGAGTAGTCTACCTATACTTTAGATTCACCAAGTTGGACATCCTTTACAGAAGCATTACTATCCACTCCTTCCTTGAGAAGTCTGATTTCCTCTTCTGTGAGGCTATTTTTCACATTCGGTACGCCCTTGGTGTTGTTTGCAGCCTGCTTCTCAACCTCCACGGCCCAACTATAAATTACCATCCCAACCACCGCAAGAATCATCCCCATGATGTTTTTGAAAGTTAGCTCTGAATCAAAGAGCAGCCACCCTAACGTGAGGACACAAACTGTTTTCATGTGACCTAAAACCTGGAATGAAACTGCCGAGAAGCGCCCAATGCAGAGGTACTGACTCACGTTGCAGAACACAGCGAGAGAGCACGAAAGAAGAATGAATAACTGCACATAGACAACACCGCAACATTTGTGAGTTAAACAACCACAGCAAGAAGATCATCACTGCCAGGGCAGAGTGAGATCAGATGAAAAGGAAAAGATGACTATGAGTGCTCACGATGGCGCCAGTAGACATCTTGTAACTTGTTACTAATTTGCCACTGAGGTAGTAATCGATGAAGGGACCAAAAATGAGGAGAGAGAGCGCTTGAATTGGGGCCGTCTGACTGAGCAGTTCAAATGATCCAATTGAGTACTTCTTTTGTAGGGAACCTATGGTCTGTTTGACAAGGAAACATTACCAAAAGCTATTAATCAATAATACAAATTCTCTCATGGATTCAGTAAAAATTATTAATTAACCAATTCGTTCTTTTTTTTTTTTTTTTTTTTTTTTGGGTGTAAATGTTAAACACCTAAAGTTAAAAAAGGGAGCAGATCCATGTGATTCCAGATCTTGTGGAACAACTTTAAAACAAGAGAGTGGGATAGACTAATGTTAGATCACTTTCACATGCATCTGGATGTTCCACTTAAGACTTAAAGAGAAAGTAAGGATTGAATTTTGTGAAGTTCTAATACTCTCAATAGTTATACTTTCCCCATCTTCAACTGCTTATCTTGATTTTGCATTGCATACGTTAAAAGTTGAAATTCAGACAAAAAGCAGATCTGGTGAAACAAATTATTATTAGCACACAGATCCAGAAGAAGACATAATGTACTAACGGCAACAGATGACAAACTAGCTGGGAGTTAGCATTAACACATGCTATGCAATGGAGCTGAAAACAGTAAAAGAGAATTCATGTATGATAAAATATGATATCATGTAGTTAGCATTAACACATCCGAATTAATATTTTTCATATTCAATGCAGACACGGCATAAGAGATGAATCAAAATGACGTTTGAAATGATTGAAGGGGAAAAGAAACTCACAATTTGCTGCAAGGAGGTAGAGAAAACGGCAACACAGGCACAGATAAAACCTTTGAGATTGACGTTGACATCAGTGACGGTGCAGACACCAACACCAATGACCACAACAACCACTGCCATTTTCACTTCCCTCGAGTACTTGTTGCCGTGAAGAATCCATTCCATCACGCAAACCACTGGAATCATGCTCAGCTTCGATATCTGTTGGTTTGTTTTGTTTGACACAAGTACAACAAAAGATTCATTAGACAATACTACTGATTTAAGAGTGTAATGCTGGATTTAATAAAGGCAAAACTGCAAAACAAACACGACATACTTGGTAGAAGCCGACAGAGTTGAGCATGAGGCTTAAATTCATGCCAGTGATAGACATGTTGGCGACGATGGAGAACCACAGAAGCTCCCAAAGAGGCAAGTGCTTCGAAGCAGACGAAAACCCTGTGGCCTTCGACACAGCTCCCACAAGTGCCGTTACCGCGAAGTGGAACCCCGTCAATGTAGTTGCTGCATCGCCACAACGACAAAGTTGTTTCTTCTTGTTGTTGTTGTTCAATTTAATTTATGACATTCATTTTATCAAAATAACTCAAGAATTGCACAATTACTACAAATCTAAAGCTAAAGCTATGCGAATGAGAAAAGAAAAAGAGAGATCTGATCTGATCTCAAATCTGAGAGAATGAATGAAGAATGATGGTTACCGACCGAAGGCGAAGGCGTAACCGGAAGAAGACATGAGCTGCTTGTTGGCCATGATGATGCCGACGGAGCTGATCACGTTCATCGCCCATGCTCCGACATCCGACACCGCTCCTCCCGTCTTCTTCTCGCTCTGCTCCATTCTTCTCTTCTTCCCCCAACAGGCAATTATTCAGATCCGGATCGGATCCCAATCAAATCAGATCAGATCCAATCGGACTGAGAAGGGAAGAGAAAGAGAGAGAGAAAGAGAAGAGAAGAGAAGAGAAGAGAAGCAATCGGCGATTTACGAGTGGAGGTTTTTGATTTTGAAATTGAGATTTATAAAAACTAAAGAAAAAAAACTGGACCCCTTCCTCTTTTTGCTTTTTGTAACTGAGAAGATAACGAGCCTGAATACCATGTACAAACAAAGGCAGGAAAAGGTATTATATTATTTGTTATTGTTTATTATTCGGAATCTACGAGTACGTATTTTGGTATTAGAATAGAACAGTGAGTGAGTTATAAGTTATTGATGAAAGTGGCCTCTCACCTCAAATCTAATTTCTCTCCGTTCTTTTTTTTTTGGCTGAATCGTCAATTTCCTTTCAACTTCACTCGTTAAATATATAACTTAAATTAAAGAAAATAAAAAAGAAGAAATTTCCTACATCGCATTCACATTCACAAATCCACAACACAATAGATGGGATCCATCATCCATCTCTCTCTCTGTTTCTCTCTCTTGATCCCTGTGCTGTGCAATGTGCATCCACCAATAACAACGTGAAATCACAAGCGCCTCTAGGCCCCACCTACCCAGCTCATACATTCTACATTACATTTTATCTTTTACATTTTTATATTTTAAAATAAAAACTCTCTACAATTATAATTTACACATATCAATTCCTTTAGCAAAGCAAAGATTCCACCCTCTACCCCCAAAAAAAAGAGCTCTATACAATAACTGCAAAAAAAAAAAAAAAAAGTAGACATATAAGTTCCTTAAAACTAAAAAAAGAGACCGTCTCCACATATCGGATGATCTGATGCGACCACCACTATTAACATTAATTAATAGCAGCATATGGCCATTGTCCTCGAATAATTCCTGGATAACTCATTTCAAAGTCTACAAATGTACATTTTCTAATCTTAACAAATATACTCAACAACTATGTACCATTTATTTATTTCTCTTTCCTAGAATCTTTATTGACATAGAACACCGACTAGAATCTTTATTGACATAGAACACCGACATTTATCGATGACAAAAATATTTTTAGACAGCGCATTTTCTTCTTTTTCTATATCTCAAAAAAAAAAAAAAAAAAACAAAACAAAAGAGAGGAGGAGGATTTTGAGATGGAAATTACTTTTTATGTGAAAATACCGTTTAACTTTTTCACAAAATAAATTAGGTTATATATAAAAACTGTTAAATTCCTTTTTACATAAAAGGGTGCTTTTCTACTTTATAACTGTCAAATCTATATAAAAAACGAACAGAAAACTATATGTTATATATATATATATATTAATTTCACGTGATTTTAACATATTCAATAATTAAAAATTAATACTACTAATAAGGATGCCTGGAAAAAAGTCCTATAAAATATAAAGTATAAGTTGGACTTTTTAATATTTTGCCATTCAGGGATGTTAAATTTGTTTCCATATGGTGTGTTGGATGACTTTAGTAGAATTGAGATCGTTGATCTTGATCGATCAAAAGCAGTTTACGATCATGAACTGTTAATATCCGGTTCTCATAGTAATTAACGATACATAATAAACATGATTGTGAATGTGAGACCTCAGCCAAACAAAACATTTAAAAACAAATATATATACATATAGTAACAAAGATGAGCACTATGTTTGTATAAATAATAAGCAAGCGATACTGTACGAATGCCAACAAAAATCCTGAGCCTAAACATGAAAGCAAAACACAGAATGTATCACTCACTAAATCAAATTACAGAACAGAAGGCGATCAATAGAAGCCAACTGGCGACAACGGAATAAGCACTATCTTCTACCTCCCTCCTATTTTCCTCACTTCTCTCTCTCTCTCTCTCTCTCTCTGTATCCCCCAAATACAACAATACAAAGTACAAACAATGCCTGTAAGCGAGCGATATCATCGCTCTAAACAAATAAAAATGAGAGACTAGACAACCACCATTCAATTCATTCCATTTCCATTTCCATTTCCATTCCACCCACAATAACTTTGATTACATAGGACGGCTCCATATACTACAACACACAAGCGGCTCGAATTCTGCTGTCCTCTATTCCCTGCCTGCGGTAGAAGAACTGTGTCTCTGCGCACCCGGTGGTGCCGTTGGCTTCGGGAAGTTATACTCAAACTGCCCTCCTGGAAACTGGGGTGCCTCCACATAGGGGCTCTATGATACCAAATTGGGAGGACCAAAAGGAAAAAGAGAGATGATTAAATAATTGGGAGTGTGTAACATTACGGAATACCAAAGACAATATACGATAGTTAAAATGAGCTTATTATCAAGGATTTGGGAATATGTTTCACATCTAGACTTAAACCCCTCTGTTTTTTTTTTTTTTTTTTTTAATTATTATTACTCAAAAATTTAGGATGTGCTCTGTAAGAGAGAGTGAAGGTAGAAAGGAAGCGGAGTTCAACTTGGGTGAGGGAAATAGAGAGGACGGGGAGGGTATTTTATCGTGTCTAACATGAATGCTCCTTCCCATTTTTCCAACACTATGAAAGGGTCAAAATTGGAGCCAGACGAAGCATTTTCAATATCTCATCTAATCCATTCCCAACCCTACTCCCTCCTACCAAACAACCATAAATTTTATATCTACCCACTATTCTTCCTATACCCCTATCCCTCCTCCCACTTTTCCAGCTACCAAACGGGGCATTAAGGTGAGAGAAAAAAGAAAGTACCTGTGAGGGCTGTGATGCAAAGGTAGTATAAGATTGTCCTTCAAGATTTGAAGATGTTGGCGTGGCAACAGAAACAGGGGAGCAGGGATCATAGCTTGATTCACTTCCATTCAGTTTATGTACCTCAGCATTTAGCACAGTTTCGCCCTCATTCCCGTTGGTCGATTTCACCCCCTATATTCATGCATAAGTTTCCAAAATTTTTTAGCATACAATAAAAAATTTGAATAGCAACCAGAATTGGCAAACAGACGTCAATAGACAATACCTGAAAGATTTTACCGAGAGTCTTCAACCCCTTTGCTCGTGCCCGGAGCTCCTCTTTCTTTACAGTGTTATCTTGAAGGACCTAAGATAAACGATGAACAAATAAAGATCACCACCAAACATTCCTATTGAAATCCTAATCAAATCAGAGAAAAGTAGAGAATAGCGAGAACACCATTTGACAAACGCGGGAAAAAGTAGCCTCGATGTCAGCTACGTTGAGCTTCCAAAGAGAATCGATCATCAGCTTTTTGTGAGATTGCATGTACTCTTCGAGCTCTTCCTCTGTGTAGTTTCCTTCTGCACTGAGTTGCTTTTTCATGTCCTCTTGTAGCTGAATCAAAGCAATTGCACCTATTGTATTGCACATATCATATATCAATGCACGGTATTGTCGCACACAAATAAGTTAAGATTAAGATAAACACAAAAAGAGAAAGAGAGAGAGAGAGAGAGAGAAGAAAAGGTTGGATTAACAAAAGCATCACCATAAGTCATAACCCCAAGTGACGGACGTGCTAGATACCTGTTGCTGCAGTTACTTGGGATTTGATGAAGTGTCCTTTGTTTCTAAACCACTCGGCAACAAATGGGACGCCTAGATATATGGCCTTCTTCCCTAGCTCTTTAGCTGCTTGTCTTGCATATATATAACCAATTGTATTCAGCATATCAACTCCGTAAGCTGTAGCAGCCAGAGAATAAAATCAGTCAGAAATGAAAGCATTCATTCAACCAAAGGGACAAAATTTTCATAATAAAACTTCCCGCCTTCATCATATCATTTTCTTTTCAAGACCGTGTCTAAATTTACCAGCATTGGAAAGCCTCGTCACTTCAGCAATTGCATGATTAATGAAATCATCCTTGTTTCCTTGCACATATTGATTTAATCGATCTTTCAGAATTTGTGCAAGCTTTTCTTCTCTTTCCTTTTGAACAACCTGTAAGAAAATAGAACTCATACCGTGCATTGATATATATCTAGAGAAATAATAAAGTTGAATAATAGTAGTAATAATAAAAAAGGAAGAAGAATAAAAATGGTAGGAAAATCTGATACCCTCATTTTATCTTGCAACTTTTTAGTATCGAATTGTTCCCCTTCTGTGAATATATCTAGAGAAGCCATTGATGCCATGGCAAGTTGGCCTATGTACTCCTCAAAGAGCTCACTACCAAACAGCATCGCAAAGATTGCCGCGGGATCGATAATTGCTTCACTGCCCAAAAAAAAACAAAAGCAAATAACTATAAGCATGAAAAAGCAAAGCGAAAGCATTAATTCTATGAGCTTAAAAATAAAAAAAATAAAAAAAAAACAAAAACAACAAAGGAGATGAATATTGGAGAGAATAACAAGAGACTAACGTTGAGATTCCTGATTTGCCATAAGCATCGTATGCTTGTCTTTGGGAAGGATCACTGAGTACTTGATAAGCCTCCCCAAGAACCTGAAACAACACTTGAAACAAAACTACTACTAGTAACTAAATAACTATAAATAAATAAATAAATATGCCACTGCAACTCCTTGATTTAATTATGATTATGGTCACACTATGACAAACACAAACATAAGCTCATAAACCTTAGTACGGTACAAGGAAAAAAACACAGAAAAGAAAAGAAGAAGAAGTAATTAGTTACCTGAAAATTTTGTGCGGCAAGAGGATCGTTTGGGTTTTTATCGGGATGAACTTGTCGTGCCTATAATTTAATAATAATAATAATAATAATAATAATAATAATAATAGATTAATAGAAAGCGAAGAGGGTAATTAATTAAAAGGTTGAATGGGTATGTCTGTATTAGAAGGTAATTTAGTTTAAACTAGGCGTAGTAAAATAGATCCCATCCCCAATTACAAGTAATTAGAGAGAACTAAGGCACATAAACAGATGGATCGGATCTATAAAATTAATTAAGTTTGAGATTGAGTTTTTTTCGGGTTTGGGTTATAAAGAGAAAGAGAAAGAGAAAGACCTTGATGTAATAAGCTTTCTTAATTTCAGCCTCGGTGGCGGAGGGGCTGACTCCCAGCACGTCGTAGTACTCCGTCTCCTTCACCATTTCTCTTTTC